TACCTAGATAAAAAAACGTTATAGTTTAAATAAACTTTTGCAAGGTAATCCACCGTAGTATTTTGCAACTTTACAATCGCTCACAGTTCGAAGATCAATAGAGAATCAATCGGAATGTTTTTTATTAAAATTACTTTCGCTACTGTTAATGGCTTTAATTGTCTATTTAAAGATCACAGTTAATTAAATCTTTAATATATTCACAAAACAAACTTTGAGTTTTTGCACAGCATCTGTTTAATCTCGTAATAAATTAGAATGCAAATAGCACAATCAAATAATTCTTCTAGTTTTTTACGATGTGTTATGGGAATTTTTGTAAAAAAAAAGTTCTCGCAATGCTGTTATACCTGTAACAACGTATTTATTATATCTAACACACAATCAGTATAAAATTAACATTCTTCTTATTATATATTATCGCGTCCTTCAACTTCATAGATTTTTATCGACTCCAAATAAAATATTATGTCACGATAACCATAATTTGTGTTTGTTAGTTTTTTATGTATCGTTATTTTGTTCGGAGCTTTTTGTTTCTAAGAGGACCGGTATCATCATATCCGTAAACATATGTCTTAATATGAGAATAGTGATAATGCATTAGGTGTATATTTAAAAATACATGCTGATGTATTTAAATTGAAGTAGTCGAATGTGTAATATTTATCATATAGTTTTGTTATTTCACACCTTAATGATAGAGTATTTTTTAAATTGTTTCTTTTCTTCAACTATATGTTTAATATAAATTGTGTAAGCAATTAGTCAATATCATTTGGATAAAATATATTCAAACTCGCATAAAATGCAATAGCAAAAAATAAAATAATTATAAAAAAATTAAACAAACATTACTCCGAAACTATAATTAGTAATAATTTAATTAATTCAGTAAATACACAAAACGATTCCAATAAATATTTTAAATTTAGATTTAGAAAGTATTTAATTTAAAATTCTTTTTATATAAACTAGTTGGTGGGTATTGTTAATTTTTCCAGTACATTGTATTTAAATTGTTTTGAACTTGAAAATTAAGTAAAATTATGCATTTAAAAAGCCACATATTAAAACAATTAGGAAACTATTTACGTTTGATAAAAATAATCACAATATAGAAAACAATTCCAGGTTTCTAAAGCAGATTTCAAAATAAAATTTAATTGCTCACTATCTTATTTTTACAAAATTATATATTATTACTAGAACCAACTTCAATATAAACAAAATAATTTCAAAAGTTTACCAATTTCTTATGATATTACTATCAATATAAAGTTTCGGTATTTAAATCGGTTTTTTCGGTTTTTAATTATTTGTTTCAGCATTTTATTTAAAATTTCGTTTAAAATTAGCAGTACCGCAATGCCACAGACTCATATAATAAACATAGTTAATATTAATAGTTTATTGAGCTACCAACGACATTAATACTTCAATAACAATGTATCCATAAGTATTGTTGTAATCCAAAAAAATAATACACATTAGCTTACTATGTGGTTAATTGCCAACAGACTTTGAGATTATATTGAGGTTGACTGAAAAAAACAATACTCCCTATAAATAAATATGACATTTCTTATAAATATTATGTAGTTTATTTAATTATTACTTTGAATAACTTTTTGGACAAAGTTTGTGGTAAAATAAAATTCAATTCCAACTCATACATCAAATTTAACATTTATCGTCTATTATTATTTATTTATTTAAGTTAAATTTAAATTAAATTAAGTACTTTTTGGGTCATCTATGGTATTATAGCCACTTTTGTTCTAGTAACGTTTGATCAACAACAATCTAGGCAAAAAATATGAGTGTTTGTATTTTAGTCTACAGTGTTAATTTGTAATTTTAATAGTTCATAGGATGTATGTGCACTATACATCCCATTTTGTAGGTATTTCTAGTTGTTCTGATGAGTAACGAGAAAAGCTCGTGCAAAAGCCTCGAGCAGCGTAATACGAAACATAGCTTATTATCTAATATTTATATGTATTTAAAACTTCCCAAACCGGATCTATTCTGAAATGAAATATTTCAATCGTAGGCGTTGTATTTATAAGGTCATGTTCATAATAGTTTCGCACTGAACGATGTTCTATACTAAATTTATGACAATTGTATGAAGACGTATCTACTAAGTTATGCAATTTTATACACGCCATGGTGGATATATATATATATATATATATATATATATATATATATATATATATATACACACATATACGAGTATATATATATATATATATATATATATATATAATGATATAAGATATATATCTTAATGGGCGGCAGAACCTGAAGTTCGCACGCATATTGAACTTCTAAATACTAATTGTAAGCCGTTCGAAGAACTATGTAGATGTGTTTGAACCAGGTTGACTGAACATCTAATGCCTTAATTAGAAAATTATTGGATCAACTTGGAAACAAAGAAACAAAACTCCTAACGATTCATTTTAGGCCTACTATTAACTTATTTGTTTTTCTTTTTCAACAACATTAATGAGAACAGCAGCAACACTAAATGTGCTCTTATGCAAATATAGATGATCAAGTAAGATTAAAAAGTCTTGTCTATTAAATATCATGAGAGTAATGAACAAAATAACTAAAGCTAATCTAATAAATAACGCACTTTTATCCAAAATAACCGAAAAATTTTATCTGGTTACTAGAATCTTCAAGATGAAATGCTATTAAATGGAATATTATAGATTATAAAAATCAATTATGCTTATACTACTCAAAAGTGAAAAGCATTTTCAAAAAATATATAGTTATGTAGATATTATAATATAGTATACAAACTATGAACATGTAACCAACTTGTGGTTAAATGAAAAATTTACAATTGTTTATATATCGTGATTTAAAAAAGTAAATATCATAACTGAAGTTTTAAAAATGTATTTATTTTTCAACTATTTACCCATGTTTTCAAACTTATTAATGTTATTTAAAACCAAAAAAACTAAATAAAATTCGCTAAATTATTATCATTATTATAGATTTATGTTAAAATATTTTAAACTGAACATTTCTGATTTTTACATTTGATTTTACAGTTTGTTTGTTTGTGATTTTGATATGTTTTGTGGACTTTAGTTAGACATAACAGAAAAGCTCTTTTAAATTTTGAATAAAATTTGAGAAAGGATTTGTAAAAAATATTATTACAAAAACATATAATTTATAAATGTAAGTAAATATATTTTTATATATATGTGTATCCATATAAGTGTGCACAAGCCTCCAGATTTATGACACTTCAAATAGTTTTTCATGACGCAAATCATATCGCGGGGTATCTCATACAATATTTATTACATACTTATTCAGAGAACAGATCTATTATTTTCCACGATTTATTGCAATGTTATTATTGATTTTAATATACTTTTATTAGTGCCTTGTATTATTAGAATATTTATTACTGTATTGTTTGTTTCGTATATTGAAAAGTGTAATGTTTATTCAAGTGAGCTTTCTCGTATAACGTTTGACAATAATTTACTCGGATAAGTGATAAATTAACAAATTATTTGTTCAGTACGCATGCAGTAGCACATTTCTCCAGTATAATAAAAGCAATTCTTTTCATGACGAAAATGTTTTTTTCGTCAAACATATCATCATACCCCAATGTTCAATTGGCATTCGATCTGACATTTCAAGTACTACCAAAAATGTGCTGATTTTTTGGAGCATTTCAAGTAATACTAAAAAATCCATAATGGAATATGATATTAATAATAGAAGAAAGATATTGATAAAAGAAAGGTGCATCGTCAGGAAATGAAATAACAAATTATTTGTCTACAGAAGCTCAAATAAAGTAAAAGCACTTTTATCAAATTGGAATATTTATGTAAAGACGGTATAACAAAATTAGTTTGTATCATGAAATGTTCATTTATAACATAAAAGTCTCTTAAAATGCACTTTACAATCATTAAAGATTTTACTGATGTAAAATATAATAGATATTCAGAATATATTTGTGTATTCAGAATCAGAATAGTAATTGTAAATGTTTACTTATATGATGTCTTTATGCAGTATCTACATATAATAATAAAAATGATATTGAAATTTTGTGTTGATAGGAAGTTTTCCCGTACAAAAAATTACTCTTTTTAAAAAGTAACATTTTTAAAAAAAAATCACTCTGAAAAAATTAGATTTTTGAGAAACTATAAATTTTGGACAAAAAATTACTTTTTTTTGTTAAAAAAAAGTCTTTTTGAAAGAAAATTTATCTTGAAATTTTTTGGAAATTCTGAACTTTTTTCAAAGCAATCGTACTGCTTTAATTGCATAGAGACAGCATATCGAAGCGCGTAAGCGCCGCATCGCAACGGATAAATATTGGTACAAAACCCATAGGAATGTGAACAAAATTTATACTTATTGTTAAAATCTCTATAAAATACCTGATAATTTGATGTGCATATTTCTAATGATCATTTTTGACCGCCAAATGGCATTTTTTTTTTACTTATTTTTACTAGATCTCCGAAACCGCTAGACCTGCCTTCATAAAAAATTGATCAGCTCTTCATCTTGTTAATACAAGTAAAATGTTTTTTTGAATCATTCAAATCGGACGCTCTGTTCTCGTAAAAACTGAGTTACCGTTTTTGGCCATATTTTCGGAACGGCTAGACTTGCTTTCGCCAAAAACTAATCAGCACGTTTCCTTATCAATACAAATCAAATGTTTTTTGAATTATTCGAATCGCTTCATCCGTGTTCCCAAAATCGTCGACGAAAATTTTTATCCGCACACACACACACACGTACACACACATACACACACATACACGCACACTCACACATACATCCATTCTTTCTGAGGTATGCCAAAATGTTCAGAGGGTTTTGAAACGTTAAGATATATAAAAATTTTCATTTTCGATTTTTTTGCTGTTACTATAACTTGCCCTACGGGAAGTTAAAAATATTAAATAAGAAAAGACACTCACCTGATTTCTAGGGTTAGTCAATCCTTGTACATTAGCCCGAACAAATCCATTCTGGCACAAATGTTTACTGACGCAAACTTCGCATTGTTGGTTAAATCCAGTATTCTGGCTGCTAACTACTTGAACAGGTTTAGCACCACCTTCATATTTCGATTTTCCATTCAAGAACGGATTATTTGACAGATCCAACTGAGGTTTTTGCTTCGTTACGAACGTTGGCGCATTACCATTGCTGGCACTGGCTCTTCTGAAAGGTGAATTTTCACCCATCCACCAGAAAGGGGCATTTGCAGTTTCTAAGCTGTTTGGTTTGAAGTTGCTTTGTTGATTTTGGGAATATGCGAGTGAGTTGGCCGCTGAGTAGCCTACGTTTACTGTTTCCGCGGTTTTGAGGAATTCTTCGTTTTCGTTTTGTGCGGGAAGACTGTGGGCAGCGCAGGCTGCAAAGATGCACAGCGCTAAAGCCGCCGTCGTTAGCGGAGCCATCTCTGGAAAGAAGTTATGTAAATTATACAATACGATTGAGATAAAAAGATTAGTAAGTTAACCATTAATCGTTTGTTAGCGAAAGGGCAAACGGAATACCTAAGGCTTAATATTAGATTCAACAGCAGAATATTTATGATGTGCTATAAAAATCATGGTTATTGCTCATCAAAATTGATTCAACAAACATAATAACTCATTCATATATTAATTATTTGTATTTATATCGAAAATATTTAATAATTTTAAAAATTATATATGTAGAGTAAGGCTATTACAAACCCACCACCATTAGTTCAAAAACCAGTAAGGAGTGAATTTTTTTAACAACACTATTTTAAAATAGAGGAAAAATAGTGTGTAATTAGATATAGCCTTAAATCGGGCGACGACGATATCAATAAACAGCCAAGTTGTCAAATTTTTAACAAAAGTATTTTTTCGTTGTTAGTCTTTCTGGTTTTCAGCACGTTAGTTTAGTTGCGTATAATTTTTAAGTTTACATTACTTAATTGCTTTATAAGATATATGTATTATTATGTTTAAGTTAAATTTAACAGTTTTTTGTATAACATCCAGAATAAGTTATTTGCCTCACACTGGCGAGATGTAACCAACGAAAAAATAGTAAATAAAAAAGTAAAGTAGTTTAAAAAACAATTTTACAAGAAAATTAAATTAGTTATAGTTATTCTAACTCTGATGATGAATTTTTTTGGCCATAGTTGTATCCATCGGGCGTATAAAAAAATGTATGCATAAGATATGTATTTCAAACGGAAGGTATTTATCTTATTTGTAATGATTGCATTTTAAGGAACAATGAGTCTATAATAAATGAAACAGAAATAATTGCCAAAGCAAGATTTATGAAGTAGTGAGAGTTGGTTTTTTGTTTATTATGTTTGAAATACATATTTTGAAGAAAAAAATATTCAGATCCATTAGATTTTTTTTGAGAATATAAATCTTCAAAATCCTTAGTGTCTTGAATTATTTGACAAAAATACTTTCAAACTATTTAATAAAAAAATTGTCACTATAAGGAGCGTTATTTTTTATAAAATATAAAAGTAGTTTAAAGTATTCAATAATTTTTAATCACTTATACAAGGACATAATTATAATTTAAGAAAAATATGATATTTAAATACGTTGCTTTTAATCAACTTTTTAAGTTTTCGAATTTGGCAATTTATCTAGCATTAAAAACAGTACTTTTTACAGTATTCATTATATATGTGATTTGAAAAAAAAAATGCATTAAACGTCAACCAATCGATATAGAAGAATGACAAATAATTTAATTTTCAAGAATAAAATTTCGTTAAGTCGAGTATTAAAATTATTATGACTAACTCGTGTTATTAGGGTTCATTAAAATTATATAAATGCTGATCACAGCTGAGAAAATATAATTACAATAAGGTTTCTCATCAAATGCCAACTAACAGAAACTAATATCTATTAAAAATTAATTAAGCAAAAAATTGCTTTGTTTTAATGTTCTTTTGATATGCTTTAAAATGGTAATCGAATCGATTTTATAATATACTTTCAATTTAATCATTGAATCGTTATGCGATGCTTTTGATAATAGTGTGGTGTTAAGAGTTTCTGTAATAAATTAAAGAAAAATGAAGTCACTATACAGATACAATTTTCTATATTTCATATGCTTTATTTTTATTTATTTTCATATATTTCGTTAAATGTTTAAGTTTGAAACGAGTTGAATATCAATATTAATACGATTTACTTTATAACAATCTAAGTTCGCTGAACAAATCATAAAACTATAATTTTTGTCATAAAAAATAACTTATCGTGTACTAGTTTATCCTATACTTTATATTGTTGAAATCGTCTGTTTTTTTCAAGTGGGATATTTATTCAATTTGTATAGAATAAAATTGTCTATTTAACCAACTTAGTGTTTATATCACAATGCTTTTCTATATCTCCGAATATTTCAGAACCGAAATTGAACATAGAAAAAATAGAAACCATGAAAATACATTTAATGTTTATTGTTGCAATTAATTCAATATTAAATACTTTAAATTTAAATCGAGAAGCTAAATTGGAATGCTAACGCTACTTTATGCTCTAAATTGTAAAGCTTTTAGTTATCTGGTATACAAACTTTATGGAAAATGAATTTAATTACAAATATATTTGTAATGAAAATTTGGTCCAATACGAGTTAATCCATCAACATTAATCTCATCAACCTCCAAGTTTAATCACCAATTTTTCCTAATTCATATCAAATACAAAAGATACATATAATATATAAGACTAACATATCATTTAAAGAACTAAATACATAATTCATATGTGCTACATATGAATATATTAAGTAATTCAGAAAATACGTAACATAGTAATTACAAAGTTTTTTAATCATGTCATCAGTTCGTGCACGGAATATATATCAAAGAAAATCGTAAGTCAAAGCTCACGTTTCTTCTGTTGAAAAGACTTTCTCATTTCACTATTTAATCATCTTTTATTCATTTCTGCGCAACTAATCTTATCTGAACGTCTGTCAATGAAAGAACTATATATATTACCTCGACGTCATATGACATTTGAATATTGAGAGATCTGAAATCTAATGTAGATTATATCATGGACCATTTCTTAAACTTTGATCTTAGCGCTTATATAGTCATGTAAGGGAATTAGATATTATTGCTGAAAGTGTTATAAAATGAAGTTGTAAAAGTCAAGAATGGATTTTGTTGGGAATTCAGATTTAGCAACACTATTGCTCTCGAATATTAGTTCTGAAATGTATTTTCAAAAATGTGTTATCTAAATAAAATAAAGTATTTTATACTGCTTACAAAAACTTACATATATTTATGAGCCAAGCAAATGGGATGAAATTACTTATATTTATATTTGACACATAAAGCAAAATGAAATGAAATTGCCTTCTAGCTGTATTTGTTATCGTAGTATCATTTATTATATTGAAAACTAGTTTTTTTCGTGATAAGATATAATTCGTATGAAATATAAACTCAAATAGGTAATTTTTTGTCTATGTTAAAATATTAAATAAAATAATAAAGCCATTCAAAAATTTACTGAAAAGAATGCAACATATGATAAATTACACAACCATTACTGATTAGTAAAATGCTGTGACGGTTCACATAATTTCTAATAAATTTGAATGAATCACATTATCAAATTGTTGTAAACATTTTAAGAGAACATTTACAAATTATTAAGTTTTTTAGAGCTTGCTGCAAAGCAAATTAATGTCTATGTGATGATTTCTAATTTTTCAAAAACTGTCCAGCTGTTTTTGAGAACTTAACATAATAAACGTCCAGCTGTTTTTGAGAACTTAACAGAAATTGTGTGTTTTCAATAATATTGGTAACTGAACAACTTGAGAATCTTTAAACAAAATTAATCAAGGAGAGCTCTAATTATGAATTTGGATATTTGGATTCATAATATAGCTTTTTCTGATGTCAGATATATTTGAATGTCAGATTGACATTTTCCAATATAATACAAAAGTGTTCAAAATATGGTAAAAATTAAAAAATGACTTCAAATTCATTGAAACAAATAAAATCTCAGCAAGACATAAAATGAGCATTATCTGTATCATATAATTAAAATCAGTGTCTAATAAAAAACAATCTAAGGTCTATGTAATGAATTTTAGATTCTTAAAACCCGTCCAGTGGTTTTTGAGAACATATTTTTTGTCAATAATATTGAGAACAAAACAACTTCAGAAATCTCTACTCAAAGCTAATAAAGGAAAGCTCTAATTATGAGTTTAGATATTTGGATTCATATGAATTCCAAGATTTCAAATTTATTGTACCAAATAAAATCTCAGCAAGACATATTATGAACGTTATCTGTATCAGATAGATAAAATTTATATGTAATAAAAAAGACAGAACAACTTGAGAAATATTCACATAAAACTAAGTAGGGAAAGCTCTAATATTAAAGCTCTAAACTCTAAACTAACGTTTTTTTGAGATTGACATTTTCGCACAATACAAAAGTGTTCATAATATTGCAAGAATTAAAAATTAGTGAAGTAAAATCTCAGAAAGACATAAAAGGAACATTATCTGTATCAGATAATACGGTAATTTTTGACATATATTACTTACTCTATAAATATTATGAAAGTGTAAATTGTTAATTTATTTTAAGCGCATTTTGATCATTTTTATGATTATGATAATTTAAGATTTTGAGATAGGAGCCAGTATAATCATCAAATTTGAAAATTAACAAAAACGTACTAAACATATATTATTCGAAATATTGTTCCATTCATAATGATGTAACTGCAATTGAATTGCTTTATTGAGTTCCATTCTTAAATTCGTAAGTAAATTCTCAATTACCATTATAATAAAAAAAGTTAAATATGATTATAACCTTTAGTATCTATTTATAAATCTTGAACTCTCCATTTGTAAACACATTTTTTATTATCTCAAAACGTTTTTTGCGAGGCCAGATCTAATTAATTGTTTGCTTTTCTATCAATCAGATAAATTAGAATGCGGTGATTAATGAATGCCGATGTTCATCTAGAAATTTGGAACAAAGTGCTTTATTATGTATGTTAATATAGGAAAAAATCGAAGGTAACACTATCAAAATTAAATTATAAATCGTGAAAAGTAATTTAAATAATTGTTATCGATATCAAAGAGAACCGATTTAAAAATGCAGTTAGCTTTGAAAACTGGACACCATTATCAAATCACAATGACATTTCATAAGCGATCTTGAATAATTTCAGTAGTCAATCTTGAATAACTAATTATTGATGAAAAAATGCGGTGTATAAGAAGTAATAATAAAAACATTGGATAAAATAAATAGATTTAGCAACAGGACTCTTAATCTTTTGAAATTCAAGTACACTACTGCATATATTTTGGATAATTTAAAATAATACTCTCGAATTCATCGAGAATAAACACTTACAACATCAGAG